GTCCTCAGATAATCCCATGTGGGGCTAGACAGTGGGATCAGAGCCAGGGTTTGTCATCAGGGCTCCCCAGCTGGTCAGAGGGATGTGTTTTTTCCCAACCAACCCTTACTGTGTCTCAAGATGAATGGCTCCACACTGACCACTACAATTACTTGACAGTCCCAGGAGAGATGCTTTTTAAGCTAAAGGACAGCTCTGGAACCAGAACAAATGTGTCTAAACTGGACATAATTGCATTCACACTGGTTATTAAAAGATTCCTAATAAAGTTTTTGAAGAGCAGCCAAAATGATTAAAGCGACAAAGCAACCCCTATTTTTAAAGTATAAGTTGGTATGTTTTTAGGAAGCTTTGTTGAAGTTGAGCTGCAGAGGAGTCAAAGGTCTCAGCAGTCCTTTAACCTCTTTTCTGATCAAGGGTTCCTTGGTAATTTAACTTGGTAACTTTTACCCACACAGGACATTGCTCTACTCTGCTGGTGTTCCTCTGCTGTGATCACACTGAGCTCTGCTCTCCAAAACAGCAGCAGAAATGGCTGCCTCCTGTATGCAGGGTGATGGGGGAAGGACACCATTCTGTTTAATTTAGCATTGAAAAGCCCACTCCCCTAGCTAAGGTGTATGAAAAATATTTTGCTCTATGCCAGTGTTGGTTTCATTGGAAGAAGTCACTTCTAGAAATCACCTCCCTGATAAACAAAAAAAATTCTCCAAAACAAGACATCAAAATGATTCACATTCTTGAAAATCTCCTTTTTCTTCCAATCACAAAATGGGGCTGGCAATATTTACATGCCTCTGGGAAGTTCTCTGGGTAAGAAAATCATCATGGCATGCAAGATCTTCTCCAAAAAGGGCATTATTTGCCTAGTAATTTGTTTTTATTGTTTTGGTCTAAAAAAACCCAAAACATCTCCACACAAACTTTGTAGCATTTCACTGAGGTTATTTTGAAAAAGAAATCAAAGAATGTTTTTTTTCATCTCTGAGCCAGATGGGAAGAAAAAACAAACTTATTCCACCATATGAAAGAAAACAGATGAAAACTTTCAAAAAAATTTTTAGCCAAGTTTTTTTTGTTTTTTGTGGTTTTTTCCCCACTAAACAGCATGGAAAAAATGAGGTGGAGATGGTGAATGAACAAATAGGCTCTGGTTTTAGGAAGGCTTGGTTTCTGGGGAACAAGGATTTAATCTCTAAGGCAGTTTAGTATCCCATTTATAGGTGCCCAAGTTTCTCTGAGTGTGGGTGAGCACTGGGAACTTCCTCCTTCAGCTCCTGCCCGAGCTCTGGGGAGCCTGGGGTGTCCCAGCAGAGGGGAGTGCCAGGTGTGGGCATCTGTCCCACTGCTGGCCTCTCACCTGGGTGAGCCCCGGCACCTGTGCAGGGCAGTGCAGAGCCTGCTCTGGGGACAGCCGGGTGCTCACGGAGGAGCCAGCATCTCTGGGGTGCACAGACACCCACATAAGTGAGGGAGGAAAAATAAATCAAGTCTGGAGGCTGGGTCTGGAGACTTCTTGCTCACTTTGGATGCTACAGATGTGTGAGCTGCTGTGCTCCTAGGCAAGGAGCCTGCACTGGGGAAAAGTGGTTTTGTTTTTTCACATGTGAATTGACTCAGCCACCTTTCCCCTGCTTCTTGCAGATCAGTTCTTCCCACACCCAGTGGCTGCCCTCTGACCAGCTCCTTGCCTTGCCAGTGATCAGACACCAGTTCCTGCTACTTGCTAAAAGCAGAGTAGCTACTTGACAGGAGCAGAAAATTAAAATAAATCAACCATCTGAGAGAGAGAGGAATAGCAAGACCAGATCAACTATTATAAACAGACAATTTAAGCCATCATAATGGCTAATGTGGGGACTGATACAACTTAGTTCAGGACATCCCTCACCTGGAGGCCCATCTGAGGTGTTTGGTGTGCTAGGACAGTAAGCACCAAAGGGCTTCAGCCCTTCTTAAAGGTCTTGTTCTGATCAGACCTTCAAAACCATGTTCCTAGCCCCTACGTGCTGCAAGAACAAGGCACTAAACCTGCAATTACGGGATAAGATAAGCCCCAGTCATGCTCAGAACCAGGATGGTGTAAGTAAAAGGAAGGCTTTAATGGAAAAAAGCTTCATCAGTTTGATTTTTAATATCTATGAATGTTCTGCTCCACCTCTCTCCGGTCTTCATATCCCTCTTGGTTACACACACATGCACAGAGTTAACAACATTAATCTCCATGTCTCCACTTAGTGATTCCTTTATTGGAACATTGCAAGTATTAGTTATAGACAACAAAGGAAATGAGAGTTGAGATTTATAAGCTCTAATCAGCTGAAGGCATTTCCAAATAAATTAATGAAACAAGTCAGAAATGACATTAAGAAATCCAGAACTTAATGTAAATCACAATGACTTTGTACCTTCTCTGCCCTTCCTTCTTTTTCTACCAGCAGTCCCAGTGCTTGCCAGGGTATATGTACTTGCATTTAATTTTATGTAAAACAAGAAGGATGATGGAAATGTGTGCTCAATATGACAAGCTACAATACTTGTGCATAAGAAGGAAAGCAAAATCTCAAGCTGGGATAAAATAACGTGCTAGCAGTTAAAACTTTCCATACAACCTGCATTATTACTCAAACCATACAGAAAGATTTGATGGGGATGTTTTCCCATTAAGGAGCACCATGACTTTCATGACAATTTCTTGGCCCATTCTGGTGTCCTGCCAATCTGTCCTTTCTGTGACATGTTCCTGAGCTGCCTTAATAGTCTCTTGGTCCTCTTAGTCATTTCAATCCTTGTTGCCATTGGACACCTCTGTTTCCTTCTTGCTGGAATATTAGGTCAAAAAGATGGTCTGTCTCAGCATGCCTGGCTGCTCAGGCCATATTTTAAGGATGACTGGACATGTCAGGCACGCAACTGTAGCATCCCTCTTCATCCAGTTTTGTCTACAGCTGCAGTGTTTGATTCAAGTGTGTGAACAGAGGGTGTGAGCCCAGTCACGTCTCATTTCTCAGTGTCCTCAGCTTGTCATTCCTCTGACTGGAAGACACTAGATAATTCTTGGATCTCGTGTGTATACCATCACTGCTGTTGCTGAAGGAAGAGAAGGATGAAATCTGGGCAAGGAAGCAATACAGCTTGGCCTTAAACAGGGGCTTCTTATTCGCTTCTTTTGGTGACAGGAGTCCGTGACATCAATAAAAAGCATGAAGAATGTAATTTAATGTGGTAGATGCTCAAAACAAGTTTATTTCACCTAAGTAAGCCAACATTCAAAACCAAGGTAGCAGTGCTTCCACTTCAGTGTGGCTCTTCAAGGCTCCATTCACCAGGGTGTGTGAGGCTCTCTGGGCATACAAAATACTCATTTTGTACCTCATTATCCAAAAATATCAGTTTAACATTATCTCCACAGACAGTGTGTAAATATATATAGAAACACAACAGCATGTGTCTACACACAACTCCTCGGTACAGCATGACAGTGCATGGCAGAATCCAGTTCTATTCAAAACTATGAAAAAGCCAAAAGGCTCACAAAATTCAGACTGTCTGAAGACAAGACCTGCTTCCATGATGATGACAGATGGTTTCTGCAGCTGTAATATGTAGACCTTTCAATTTTAATTGAGCAGATGCAATTTTCGTGTTGTTCCTGTCCCATATCTAATTTGTACCCACAGGGCAGATTCCCAAATGTAATATTTTGTGTATTTTGAAAAAAAAAAAAAAAAATCTGATTAAAATTTAGAACATAGGAGGGAATGTAAGATGTAGGGAAACAGCAGTCTTTAATTGGTTGATTTTAGGATCAATATTTGAAAATCTGAAGTACAAAATCTTGTCTCTTTCCAGCAGAGCAGGAGTATTTCAACAAACTTATCTGCATTCAGCCAAGGTAAATGGCAGGAGTCAATGGAAAAACAGCTCTCCTTACTAAGGAGCCAAAACAACTTCCATCATTGTAGAGCATATTGCCATGAGAAGGGTATAAAAACTGGAAACAAATACCAAGGTTTCTGCTAATGAATTAACCCACTAATTTTTAAAATTCCTGATAAGCAATATTGCTGCCTAGACAAAGGCTCATGGGACTGTGGAGGAAACTGGCTGGGTAATGATATAATCTCTTTCTGCTTTGCAGCATATTTTATTTTCTACTTTGTTTGGGAGAGAAGTACTGGTCCAAGAAAACAGAGAGATCGATTTACAAAGCACTTTGAAGAAGTGCAAGTTTATTAGACTTTTCTGAGTACGGCATGTTTTTCTCACCAGATCTTGAAATCTGTCTTAAGAACAAACATATTTCAGTATGTACAGCTTTTTTGTTTATCTTTTCATAAAGTCTCTCACCTGGGCTTGACCTGCAGTATATGTGGCACCTACTGGGGTAGAATTCCTTAGGAGAAGAGAGAAAGAATGAAAACATTTCAAAATAGCTGTTAAAAATTGGAGATTTACTTCCATGGAATTTTCTCCTGAGGAAGGATGGAGGGAAGGGAAGGTGTGGGAAGGGAAGGGAAGGTGCAGGAAGGGAAGGGAAGGTGCAGGAAGGGAAGGTGTGGGAAGGTGCGGGAAGGGAGGGGAAGGGAAGGTGTGGGAAGGGGAGGGGAAGGGAAGGTGTGGGAAGGGGAGGGG